CCTTCGCCCAAGAAGAGCCGGTTTGGCTTCGGGTTTGAAGCTTGTGAGCCAAGTCCAACCGGGATAGAATACGTTTTCTTGGGTTGGCTTACACAGGGCTCCTTAAAAGATACATTTTGCCCAATTGAAACATGGCTTTTTCCACCAAAATAAAGGGAGGCCAAAATTTACAAGGCAATGTTCAGGTGTACAATGTAAGGATCACTGTGTGACGTTTTGAGCTTGGACAGCGCTTCCGAACTCCAAGCTCTCATGTGCGCATGCGTCCGAGGAACATGACAGGGTGTTGAGCAGGGGAATGTTGAGGCGAGGCGATTTCCTTTGTTCCACTGAGGGAAGTGGTCAGCAAGTGGAACACATCCGCTTCGCGGTACGATTGTTGGGAGACAAGTGGGTCCAGGTGCCTCACGCTACTACCCTTTAAAGACTGGAAGTCACCCCATAATTTCGGCATTCCATGTATGGTGCGTTTGAAGCCCCAGGAAAAAAGTTGGCCTGCCCGAGGCTCGCCCAAGCCAAAGCGCAGGGCAGCTATGTCGGAAGGCGTAGAGAGTTCGTCGCGGTGTTCGTCACTGTGGCAACTGTTCTGGGGCCAGCGATTTGTGTCTTTGTGTCTCTGTTTCTCAGTGTCTTTGTGTCTCTGTGTCTCTGTGTCTGTGTGTCTGTGTTTGTGTCTGTGCGTGTTGTGTTTGCGTGCGCGTGCACGCTCGCGTTTGTTCGTTTGTTCGTTTGTGTGTGTGTGTGTCTCTTTTGTTCATTGTTTTGTGTGTGTGTTTGGTTGGTTGGTTGGTTGGTTGGTTGGTTGGTTGGTTGGTTGGTTGGTTGGTTGGTTGGTTGGTTGGTTGGTTGGTTGGTTGGTTGGTTGGTTGAGTTAGGCTTGAATTGTTTGTTTGCTTGTGTGTTTGTTTGTTTGTTTGTTTGCTTGTTTAGTTGCGTTTGTCTGTTTGTGTGTGTTTGCTTGTTTGTTTGGTTGTTTGTTTGTTTGCTTGTTTGTTTGTTTGTTTGTTGGTTGGTTGGTTTGTTTGTTTGGTTTTTGTTTGTTTGTTTGTTTGTTTGTTTTTTGTTTGTTTGTTTGTGTGCGTGAGTGTTTGTCTGTGTGTGTGTCTGTGTTTTTGTGTGCGTGCGTGTGTGTGTGTGTGGTGTTTGTGTGTGTGTGTGTGCGTGTGTTTATGCTCCACGACCATTGAACTTTCCTAAATATAGGATTTGGGTTTCCTCCTGTTAGTTTGAAAGCCACGCAGAAGGGGTACTCCGCCTTTGGACACCCCATACATTTAATGTATTCCGCCCCTGCGAAACGATGCCGTGGCCAACCACAAATGCACCTTGACGCAATTCCCATCGGCTGTCCCTGGTTAGGGGTAACCCCTGTGAGTTTACCTTAAAAGAAGACCACAGGAAGTCAGCAGACTTGGGTTTCTATGTATATATAGAAAACATGCCCAGGACGTACCCCTACTTCTTTCCGCTCAGTTGAATTTGCGCATCTAGCTTTGGGAGCGAAATCGGTTTCGGGGTTCAAAGGCCCCCCCCTCCCCGCCGCTTGTTTCAGAATCTGCAGAGGCGACATTTTTAGCAAGTGGTGGTGACCTGAAGACTCAGACTCTGTTGTGTTTGACCTGCTTCAGACTGGTTCGAAGGGAAGCCAAATGGACAGTCACCATCCGGACTTTATTCTCACCCTCGGCGAGTGATTCCCGACAAGTGCCATCCTCTTGGTTCCCCCCTTCGGGGTTGGTTTCTGAAGGAAAATCAAACCGAAACCAATCATTTGGCAGGTCCGTCAGTTAGGGGCCAGCACGAGAGCTTGGATTTTTGGACAAATACCCATGTGCAAGATGGTCCTTGTTTCCTGAATGCTCCTTGCTGGGGATAGCCTTCCCCGATAAGGATGTTTCTGACCAAGGCTCATTTGTGATTCTAGCGATGGTATTTTCCTACTGTGGCTACTGGAATTGTGGTGATCATGGCTAAATGTGTTTTTGGTAATCTGAAGCATCCTAGTTCCAACACATATGTACCAGTTCCTTCTACCTTCTTCCAGCTTGCTTATCCTTGTCTTTTTTTGTTGGTTTCAGGGGGAATCTATCACTACTGGAAATATGTTTTTTGTTTTGTTTTGTTTTTTTTCCAGGTGCCTTAACCAAATGGAAGTAGCGCGTTGAAGTTCATTGAAGCGCCCACATCGGACAGGCCCTTACCAGCCCCTGCGCCAGCTTCGTGCCGCCTGGCAGCTCGAGGCAAAGCACGAAGCACCGCGCGGTAGTCGAGTCGATTTGGATGGGCGAAGGGCGTCCCTTGAAGTGGCTACATGGGTCTAGGTCCCCCAGTAGTGCCCTTTTACCCTTGTTTTGGGGGGGAGGGTTTTCCCCTACTAAGATAGACTACAGAAAAAAGTTGGTACCCTTATTCTAACCCCTCTACTGGAGGACCTAGGGGTGCGTCTTTTTGGAGGATAACCTACTTTTGGTTGGTTTCAAAGAGAAACACACGCGGAGTGAGCCAGTATGGCGTGGGGGGGTCCCTCTTATTCCCTTTTCGCAGGGATGGGCTCCTTGCAAAAGATTGCCATGGCTTGGATGCCCATCCCCAAACACGTACCTTCATACCTATTTGGTTGGATCTCCGGTTTACCTTTTTTTTTGCTGAAACAGGTCGGAATTTCCATTGGACCAACAAAAGTTAGAACCACATTTGAGGGGTCAGCAACCAAGGTACGTTGCCGTTGTTTTCACCTCTGCTCCGGCTCGGTTTTCGAGTGGCTCGAAGGTGAGCATGGCTGAGGTTAGGGCAAAACGAGCAAAGGAGTGAAGCTTGAAGGGTTGTAAGCAAGGCATTCAGCAAATCAAACTGTTTCACCTTGGCCTTTTGGACTGGTGTGTCTTCGAGAATATCTTGCTTTGTTGTTTCTTAGTTTCCGGCCGTTTGCTTTGCAAATTCAAAGGGATACTCAAAATGAGGTGTGATGAACACACAGGTTCTATCCTTCCATTTACTTCAGAATATTGTTGATATATATATATATATATATTCCCTGTTTGGTTTCAAAAGGAATCCATTACTGGACATGCCTTTCGTATGGGTGTGCCTTTTTGTAAGTGACCCCTCAAAATGGCATCGGTTTTGTTTGGTTTCCCTTTAAACCAACACCAACAAGGGTAGCCTCAAAAAGACACCCATATTTCCAGTAGAAAACGGAAGCGCAGGAGAAGCTCTGTGCCATTGAGGAGGAGGAGCGCGAGCTAGAGAATGAGACAGAGGCGAGCCTCGAGGTGAAATCTTACGTCGAGCAATGACCAGATTCACAGTTGCCCAGTGGGTTGCTTCCTTGTTTCATTTTTTTTTTTGGGAAGGGTTCCACTACAAAGTCAACCAACCAAGAAAAGATCCTTCTTTTTTGATGGCCACTGGGCATCTGAGGATTGAGATTTGTCAGACGCGAAGGGTGCCTTGGTACCACATATTTGCGGATTTGAGGAATCCGCATTTGACGAATTCCATTGAACCAAACCCAAAACATGACTCTCCAACGAAAATGCGGCGCCCCGTCTCATTTTACACTACATGTGCGCCAAGATTTGGGTTTGTGCTGTTTGAGGGTACCCGCGTTAACTTTGTTTCAAAGGGAAGTCAAAAAGAAGCCCTTGTGGGGATCCCCCTATTTTGGCAATTCAGAGTGTGCCTATGGGACAATTTGGGAGGGACATGAATGATTATTTTTATGTTTCCTCCAAACCTTAGGGGGAGCAGTTTGTTTGTCATGTTCAAAGAGTAGCAGCTACTTGGAAAACCTTCTTTTGTCTATGGTTTGACAACTTTAGTCAGGCGTCAATACCCTGAAAAGAGATGTTGGGTCTTTGGAGTGGGGTGTATTTCCACTAAAGGACTCACTGAATTTCCCATGTGAGCCACAATCGAAACCGGGTAGATGAAGCTTAAGGAATAGTCCCAACCATAAATGTGTGCCTTCGCCGGTTTGTTTCAATTCTTTACATGGTTCTGGGGATCAACATTTTTTAGCGTCCGGTTTTGATCCTGACTCATGTCCAGCACAGGATTAAGAGATTCGATGGCTCAGCCTTAGAACTGAGCGTTTCCTAGCTCAAGGGCCCTCCTTGTTTGGAAGAAGGGAGCCCGAAAGTAGCCTAGCCCGTTTGTAACAGTTTTCCTTGGAACATCCATGTCGACCTGGAAAACAAACAGGGGGTCCACTGCGAAAGGAACTGCTCAGCGGCCATTGCTTGTTGGGCTCCTGTCAATTCTCAAACTTGCCCACTTTATGCACGGCGAAATGTCTACTCTCCCTCCAACAGTTGCTGACAGGAGGCATTTGGAAGACAACTTTCGTTTTGGGAAAGGCCGCCCTTGTACTAACCACGGACTGCTCTTGTCTCAGGTGGATCCATGTTGGATGTGTTTTGACCTAGCTGCTCGCTTGCTTTCCACTGAGCTCGGGAGCTTGTGTTATTGTTTGCTTCGATGTTGGCTTGCTTATTTGCCAGCTCGCATGGGCGACTTGGCTGTTGCCGAGCCAAATTATATTCCTGCAAGTCATGCTTGGTTTGCTGGATCCGCTATGAAAGACACATTTCATGGTGTCCACCATGAGCATCCTGGCGTTGACACTTTGACTGAACCCTCGGGATACATGGTTTATGGTGTACTCTTAACCTTTGAAAACCAGGACCCTAAGGGGCAAGTGGTCGTTTGTTTCTGCTTGGTGACTCAAACAAAGCACTATGATTCACCCAGAATTCCGGTGACATGATGGCTCCTGCGCAGCGTAGGCTCAAGCTTTGGGCAATATGACACCTGTGGCAGATCCAGCGGCCAGAAGAAAGATCCACTTCACTCAAATAGACGAAAGTCTCGAGCTGTTCGACTCCAAAGTGCAAAACCAAAGACAACGCGTTTTCCGTGAGCGTCACTCGGCTTGAGCATTTCAGCGGATTTGAAGGTAAGCAGTCTTAGCCACGCCTTAGAGAGCCACTTAGCCTTCGCTGGCATTCCTTTGCCCGAGCCGATCTGCTTTTCCACTGCGCCATGGTCATACCTTTGCCCGCCAATGAGAGCATCACAGCTCTGCCGGATGAGGTCGCTCGCTGCGATGAGGGGGGTGGCTCAAAATTTGAGAGCCAGAGGACCGCAGGTTTTACTCTACTAGGTCGCCCAGTAGTGCCCTTTTACCTTTTTTTTTTCCGGTGGAGGTTTCCCTTCTAAAATAAACTACAGAAAAATGGATGTCCTTATTCTAACCTCTCTACTGGAGGACCTAGTCTGCCTTGCATTTACCAGGGTTCCATTTTGGGTTTCCACTGATTCGGAGCCACAAGAGGAGTCATTTCAAGTTCATGGCCCCGTCCCCCGGCTATGGCTCCCGCTGCTCTGAAGTCGTACACTTGTTGCTCCCAGCAAGCGGCCCACTCCCTGCTTGTCCAATGCAAATTGACCGCCCCGGACCTGTGTTTGGTGCTTGTGCTCCCAAAATGGACCCATGAAGAAATGAACAACATGAAACCATGCTTTGGGGGTCTCTGGTAAAGGTTCGCCTTTGGTGCCCAGGGTGGATGGGAGCATCCAAATAGCCCTCGGATTACGTTGTAAAACATCACGTGAGATCGGGATGAAAGATGTGACCAGATCGACTGGCGCACCGGAAAACTCTATGCACAGTGTCTCTTTGACTGTGCTTGAGCATGTTTCTGCCTATTCTATAGCGAGCTCACCTGGGGGGTAACACCAAGCTCACCATGATAAAGGTCCTTTCCTTGGGGATCCAAATCTTAGTTCATAATTTAGGGAATTCTAGTCAACAATTGCAGCTTAATAAATGTGCTTTTGTTTTTTAATCAAACTCGCCCTCCGAACATCTCCGACTGATCTTGAGCATGTCTCTAGGGGACACTTCCCCATTCTTTCCAGGGATCCTTCTTTCAGAAAACCACCAAAAGCCCTAGGGAAACGGATCTGGTGTTGCAAAGAACGATGGCTGAAGAGAATGGAAACATGACTCACCCCCTAGAACTTTCGCCCATCAGCTGTTGACCACTCGGGTTTGTCTCAGAATAGGTTGGCCCCCCCCCAAGAAACAAAAAGGACGGGGATCAACCCCTAGCCTCAAAAGCGGCGCCCGAGCTGAGGCCCGGCGGCTTCTCGCCCGGCACCCAAGTTGAGAGGGCGGACAGGGGTGGGGGTGGGGGGTGGGGGGAGTGGGCCTGTCACGTAGCCCGTTCGGAAGATCTGGTGCATGTTGTGGTTGCGTGGGTTTTGTTTTTCTCTTTGGGGGAGGGGGGGGGGGGAGTTTGAATCAGTTTGAAGGTTTCATTTGTCTTTTTTGGGCCTTGCGGGGAACTGATCTGACGAGTGCCATTTGACAAGACTCGCCACCTGAAATCGAATGGTGCAGTGTCGCCTTTGTGAAACAAATGGTGTGAACCCCGAGAATTCCATTGGCTGTGCGGTACCAAAATGGAACCCTGGTAAGTGGAAACATGAACCAAAACCTGCGTAACCACTTCTGTTTAATTTTGACCCACAGCCAATTGGGTGAAGCCTCAACCCCACCCCGTTCAGCTAAAGAAGGTTGGCTCTGGGCTGTCAGACCTGAGCAAGTTGGACACTCTCCATCACTTGCAGATTCCTTACTTCTTGGTGACCAGTAATTTGCCTAGACACCCTTCCACCCCCTGCCACTCAGACCCTTTCCCATCAGATAAGTTTATAGTGGGTCTTTCTTTTGTGTGCAACATGTGTTTCATGTGTGGATGATTTTCTCCATTGGAACACGAAAGCGCGCTTTTTCTACCTTGGGCCGAACGGGTCTGCGAGGCGGTAGTGGCGGACACCTATTTTGCATGGACGAACGCCTGCACCACTTAGAAACCGCGATTGGACATATATTTTGTTGGTATTTACATGGGACTCGAATCATTCCGTTGGGTTTCTGAACGGTGGTGCGAACGGATTTCGTCCATCAGTACGGGTGTGTCTTTTTGTTCGAGGTACCCTTGTGGTTGGCGTTCAAGGGAAACCAGAAGGAAGCCAACCCTCTTCTTTTTTTTTGGGTGTGGGGGGGGTCCTAAACAAGACACAACTTTTCGTGGTTTTAAAGCGAAACAAAGAGGAACCCATCATTTTGTGGGTGGGCCCCCCAAAAACCAGGGACACGGCTGCCGTATGTTTTCGAGGCGTCCACCAAGTACTTTGTCTTCGGCCTTTGGGCCTTCAGCATCGTCCTGGGCATTTTCTCACCTTTGAGCGCCTCGTTCGCTGAGGGGCGTTTTTGTTGTTTGTTTGTTTTTCTTTCTTTCTTTTTCCGCATGTTCACCCCGAACATTTTTGTTTTTTAATGTTTTCCGGATTCCCCAGCTGGTTCCTTTTGGTTCCCCCCACTTGAACGAGTTCAGGGCTCTAAGTGACTTGTGGGGTGGGAAATTCAAAGAATTGAACACATCACTTTCTGCTTCGTCGTTTTTACATGTTCAGGCCGTGGCCTCTTCAAACGTGCCATGTTTTGAAGGTCCCCTGACAAAGACACCCCCAAATCCCTTTCGGTTTGTGGTTGGAGAATCGTGAGCTGGAGTTGCCCCGCGGTAGTGGTGCAGCATTTACCCCTCAGCTCCAAACTGCCCGCGCACGCCAGCAGACGGATCTGTCCGGGCGAATATGGTTGCGCGCATCGCTATCGGCCGTTGGTGTGGACGCCGCGGCATTCGGCCCGTGGGATCATAGGTGGCGATTTTAGGGGAGTTGGTTAGGAATAGATGGGTTCCACTGGTTTATATAGGTTGGTTTTACGCCCCATGTACCAGAGAAACCCTTCTGTTTTATCAAAAGGACACCTATGTCTGGGATTGTGTTGGGAACTGTCGATTCTGCTTTACCCAGCATCCCTGCCCATGCCTCTGGGTGCTTGCTGGCTTAAAGTTTTCCCAGCGCCAGCTAGTTCTGCAACCGTCTGTCTCATTTTGCCCGGAGTTCCTACAAATTTGTCCTGAGTTCTGAGGGGTGTCAGAAAAGTGGACATGTTGGTTGTGACCGGGACCTAGAGTGCGCCGCATTCTGGGCCTGCGGTCCATTGTAGGCATCGGTCAGTGGGTGCTTGGCACTTGCCATTGTGGTTGCTACGTCTCACCCCAAGGGTTATGATTTAGATTCCACGTTCGGCGCTCATAGCAAGCTCATCGAAAAGGCGGAATTGAGCGTTTCCACAGTCTGCTTGTGAATTTTGTCATTTGGATGGGCATCATTTTCTCTCCCAAAGTCGACCCAAAGACCCCCTGCGAGCTTTTTGGTCGGCTCGCATCCGCCAAGGGACCCAAGTTCTTTGAGCCAGGGATTTCCGCTCGCGCGAGCGCAGCCCCGAGGTGCCATTAGCACTTGGCCGAGACCTGAGTGTGGGTGGGAACCGCCCATGTCTCCACCAAAAGGGCAACCATGGCCCGCAGTAGCCATTGCCCCTGTTCATGTGCTTGGTAAAAAACCTTAGAGCCGGTCTTTTGGAATCAGAACTTACCTCCTTGAGACACACCGCTTGGGCTGTCCTGAACAAACATGGGGGGATTCTTCAACATGGGTTTGGGGAGACCACCTGAAGCATGTGTTTAGTCTCACTTCGTTTGACTGGGATTGTATCGCATGAGTCTGTCACTGGAGCTCAGTGGTTTCGACAGCAATGACATGAGTCGACATTAGCTCGGCAGTAGCTTCGGGGAGTCCAAGTTCTGCTGGAACCTGTTGATTATTCGAGGGGTGGGGGCCCCTCCAAAAGTGGTTTGATTCCCCACTTAACCCAGGGACACCCCCTACAAATAAACTGGGGTGATTAATGGTGGGTTTCCAGTACAGATTCCTTTGCCGTGTGCAAGTTAATGTCTGAATTTCTCGTACTCTCAGAGGGTGGTTGGTGTCTCAGTGAGACATGGGGTTTCCAGAGGATGGTGTTTTACCCAACCAGAACACAAGGCATCGAAACCGATCAAACATTCGAAACGGCAAACCAACACCATAGGCGTCCTTGTGATCGGTTTGGTGAAGAAATAGAAGGGTTCCACTGGTTAAGTGAGTTTTACCAGGGAAATCCATCTTTTTCTCCACCCAGAGCCCTTCTCTGTGGCCCAGTGGTGCCCTTTTTGCCTTTTGTGGGGAAGGGTTCCCCTTTAAACTCAACCAACAAAAAAAGGTGCCCTTGTTTGCACATGGCCACTGGGCATTTGAGCCTTCATGAAGGAAATACAGCACACAAGTTGTGCTCATGGGATCCAATTCGCGGGGCCGTGGGTTGAAGCCACTTCAAAGCTCTTGCATGAAGCAAGACTTCGACAGCCAGTTGGGGTGCCCAGCATGGTGAATCAGGCACCAAACGAGTTGGTTTCTTGCGAAAGCAGCAGTACCGTGCTGAGGCAACATGGGAGCGGCTGTCAACTGGTAGGTAGATCACTCCCTTTTCTTTCGGCCCCTTAGATTTGTTTTGACGCGGACACGTGCCAAATGCTAGAGTCGACATTGGTTTGCACCTGGGCATTTTGTTGAGACCTTTTTTAGGAGGCTCTCAAAGGGATTCAATGTTGTTGTATTCCTGGCATCCGATGCTTGGTGATGAAGGGGGAAGTCACGTGGAAACCGGGATAATGTTGACAACTACCCTCAGTTGTTCTAAGCCGACCTTTTCACCTTTTGCTTTTCCCAAGTTGGTCCACGTTTGGTAAAGGTCAAGTGAGCAACAACATGCAGGCCCCCCTTGCATGTGTTGTATATTTTTTTGCCGAGCGGCGTGTGTCAGGTGCCTGGCCATTTTCGGGACTTATCTTCTTCATGAGGAGCGGGGAGCGGGTGTCTCAGGGCGCGGGTGGCATATTGTGCTTCTCAAGTTGTTTGTCCCTGAGGAGTAAGCAAACAAACTCTGTAATATGATATTGCATATATCAATATGAAGACATGTAACCAATCACTAGCCACCCAGTGTGTTCAACCCGCAGCCTGTGTATTTGCCCCTGTGTCAAGCTGTTGGTTTATGGGTCAACAGTCGAAGCTGGTCAGCCAAAGCAGGTTGTAGGTGGGAAGACCCAGTCCCTGAAATCTGCTCCATGTGGCTGGTGATTCGCTTTTCGGAGGACCCGCAAATGAGCTCCTGCCCCTCGGCCGACAACAAGAGCCGCGCTCGTCTTGCCAGGGATTGCCATAGAGGTTCCCACCAAACAAAATCAATGGGCGCTCCCTTAAAGGCTGCATTCGGGCCAGCCAAAAGTCACCTTTGTCAGCTGATTTATCTAGAGGATTCCCTGGCAAGGCAGGTGGTTTTTTGATGTACGGGGCTTGGTTTGCGCCTTACACAGGACAAATGTGCGATAGCACATATGGGTGTTTCTCAAATCGTGGACTTGGATAAAAGGTGTTCTACGTCACGGAATTCATGAACCATGACAAGCCAGCTACCTAGCATAGCCATTGCCATACCCTCTTTCCCAGAAGTGAAGTTTCTGGGGTGTTGGAATTTACCATCCTGTTAAGCCATCCTCTTAGTCGCCTCCAGTTCCAACTGGAAGCACGGCTTGGCCGATGAATACGTTGGCAAATGGTCATGCATCTAAATGGGCTTGTGTGTGTGTGTGTTTTTACCCTTTGTAGCCAACAGGACAACCACCATTTTGTGGGTTCGACTATTTTGAGAACCCCCACTGGGGTTTACTCGGTTTGTAACCCAATATGCCCAACCTTCGGGCGGCGAAGCGTCATTCTATTCAAAGGAAGTTTAACAAGAAACTTCCGTAGTCAAAGGAAGTTTAACAAGAAACTTCCGTAGTACTGGAACTAAGTGAGCTAGCTGCTTTGACATATAGCTATGACAGGTAGCTAGCATGACAAATAGATAGCTTTGACATATAGCTAGCTTGACAGATAGATAGCTTTCCAATAGGCTAGCATGACAGATAGATAGCTTTGACATATAGCCAGCTTAACACATAGATAGCTTTCTCAAGTATCGATTTCGTGGCAGGCGCAGCACTTTCGCAAGCACTCTCTGCGAGCTGGGGGATGGCAAGATGCAGAAAACGTTGGCGCTGTGCGTGAATTGGGCTTCCCGGACAGTGCGCAAACCACCTCGGCTGCGACGCCTGTACGGAGGCGGGTGCGGAAACGGTCTCGGAGACGGGACCATTGGCACGGCCGCGCGAAGGTTTCGCAAGGTTTGAATTGCGTGGCGCGCAGCACTTTCGCAAGGTCAAGTGTAGATTTCGTGACAGGCGCAACGCAAGGATTTCCAGGCGCAGCACTTTCGCAAGCACTCTCTCTGGGGGAGGCTGCAGAAAACGTTGGCGCTGTGCGTGAATCCGGACAGTGCGCAAACCACCTCGGCTGCGACGCCTGTACGAGGCGGCGGAACGTTCGGAGACGGGACCATATACGGCCGCGCGAAGGTTTCGCAAGGTTGCGTGGCAGGCGCAGCACGTTCGCAAGGTCAAGTATAGATTTCGTGGCAGGCGCAGCACTTTCGCAAGGTCAAGTATCGATTTCGTGGCAGGCGCAGCACTTTCGCAAGGTGCTGCGTCCACTCTCTGCGAGCTGGGGGATGGCAAGATGCAGAAAACGTTGGCGCTGTGCGTGAATTGGGCTTCCGGACAGTGCGCAAACCACCTCGGCTGCGACGCCTGTACGGAGGCGGGTGCGGAACGGGTGCGGAACGGTCTCGGAGACGGGCCCATTGGCACGGCCGCGCGAAGGTTTCGCAAGGTTTGAATTGCGTGGCAGGCGCAGCACTTTCGCAAGGTCAAGTATAGATTTCGTGGCAGGCGCAGCACTTTCGCAAGGTCAAGTATCGATTTCGTGGCAGGCGCAGCACTTTCGCAAGCACTCTCTGCGAGCTGGGGGATGGCAAGATGCAGAAAACGTTGGCGCTGTGCGTGAATTGGGCTTTCCGGACAGTGCGCAAACCACCTCGGCTGCGACGCCTGTACGGTAGGCGGTCTCGGAACGGTCTCGGAACGGTCTCGGAGACGGGACCATGGCAAACGGCCGCGCGAATGTTTCGCAAGTTTGAATTGCGTGGCAGGCGCAGCACTTTCGCAAGGTCAAGTATAGATTTCGTGGCAGGCGCAGCACTTTCGCAAGGTCAAGTGCCAAATTCGTTGCAGGCGCATCACTTTCGCAAGGTCAAGTACAAAATTCGTGGCAGGCGCATCACTTTCGCAAGGTCAAGTACAGAATTTGTGGCAGGTGCAGCACTTTCGCAAGGTCAAGTGCAAAATTCGTGGCACGCGCAGCACTTTCGCAAGGTCAAGTACAGATTTTGTGGCAGGCGCAGCACTTTAGCAAGGTCAAGCACAGATTTGGTGGCAGGCGCAGCATTTTTGCAAGGTCAACTTTCGCAGCCGGGGCTCGAAAATCGCAACTTTTAAGTACGAAAGTAGTACGCGAAGTCAACTTTCGCAGCTGGGGCTTGAAAATCGCAACTTTTAAGTACGAAAGTAGTGCGCAAAGTCCACTTTCGCAGCCGGGGCTGGAAAATCGCAACTTTTAAGTACGAAAGTAGTACGCAAAGTCCACTTTCGCAGCTGGGGCTCGAAAATCGCGACTTTTTAGTACGAAAGTAGTACGCGAAGTCCACATTCGTAGCTGGGGCTCGAAAATCGCAACTTTTAACTACGAAAGTAGTACGTGAAGTCCAGTTTCGCAGCTGGGGCTCGAAAATCGCAACTTTTAAGTACGAAAGTAGTACGCGAAGTCAACTTTCGGGGATTGAACATCGCAACTTTTAAGTGCAGAGAAAGATGGGTAGATAGATAGATCAATAATCAGATATAGAGATAGCTAGAGAGATAGATAGAAAGAAGAGATAGAAAGATAAATAAATAGAGAGGTAGATAGATAGATAGGAGATAGAGAGGTAGATAGATAGGTAGATCTATAGATAAATCGCAACTTTTAAGTACGAAAGTAGTACGCGAAGTCAACTTTCGCAGCTGGGGCTTGAAAATCGCAACTTTTAACTACGAAAGTAGTGCGCAAGTTCACTTTCGAGCCGGGGCTTGAATATCGCAACTTTTAAGTACGAAAGTTAGTACGCGAAGTCAACTCTTCGAAAGCTGGGGCTTGAAAATTCGCAAACTTTAAGTTACGGAATGTAGTGCGCAAAGTTCATTTCGCAGCCGGGCTTGAAAATCGGCAACTTTTAAGTACGAATAGTAGTAGCAAAGTCCACCTTTCGCAGCTGGGGTCGAATCGCTACTTTTTAGTACGAAAGTAGTACGCGAAGTCAACTTTCGTAGCTGGGGCTCGAAAATCGCAACTTTTAATTACGAAAGTAGTACGTGAAGTCCAGTTTCGCAGCTGGGGCTCGAAAATCGCAACTTTTAAGTACGAAAGTAGTACGCGAAGTCAACTTTCGGGGATTGAACATCGCAACCTTTAAGTGCAGAGAAAGATGGGTAGATAGATAGATCAATAAACAGATATAGAGATAGCTAGAGAGATAGATAGAAAGAGAGAGAAAGAGACAGAGAAACAGAGAGAGAAAGAGAAAGAGAGAAAGAGAGAAAGAGAGAAAAAGAGAGAGAGAGAGAGAAGCAAGGGGCCAAGGACAGTTCTCCAAACTATAGTTGTTCACTGCTTTGAAACTTCCGCCCCCCGGCTCTGCCGGACCTTACTTGTACTGGAACTAAATGAGCTAGCTGCTTTGACATATAGCTATGACAGGTAGCTAGCATGACAAATAGATAGCTTTGACATATAGCTAGCTTGACAGATAGATAGCTTTCCAATAGGCTTGCATGACAAATAGATAGCTTTGACATATAGCTAGCTTGACAGATAGATAGCTTTCCAATAGGCTTGCATGACAAATAGATAGCTTTGACAAATAGCTAGCTTGACAGATAGATAGCTTTCCAATAGGCTTGCATGACAAATAGATAGCTTTGACATGACAAATAGATAGCTTTGACATATAGCTAGCTTGACAGATAGATAGCTTTCCAATAGGCTTGCATGACAGATAGATAGCTTTGACATATAGCCAGCTTAACACGTTGATAGCTTTCTCAAGTATAGATTTCGTGGCAGGCGCAGCACTTTCGCAAGCACTCTCTGCGAGCTGGGGGATGGCAAGATGCAGAAAACGTTGGCGCTGTGCGTGAATTGGGCTTCGGACAGTGCGCAAACCACCTCGGCTGCGACGCCTGTACGGAGGCGGTCTCGGAACGGTCTCGGAACGGTCTCGGGAGACGGGACCTTGGGCATGCCGGCGAGTTTGCATGGTTTGAATTGCGTGGCAGGCGCAGCACTTTCGCAAGGTCAAGTATAGATTTCGTGGCAGGCGCAGCACTTTCGCAAGGTCAAGTATCGATTTCGTTGCAGGCGCAGCACTTTCGCAAGGTGCTGCGTCCACTCTCTGCGAGCTGGGGGATGGCAAGATGCAGAAAACGTTGGCGCTGTGCGTGAATTGGGCTTCCGGACAGTGCGCAAACCACCTCGGCTGCGACGCCTGTACGGAGGCGGGTGCGGAACGGTCTCGGAGACGGGACCATTGGCCCGGCCGCGCGAAGGTTTCGCAAGGTTTGAATTGCGTGGCAGGCGCAGCACTTTCGCAAGGTCAAGTGTAGATTTCGTGACAGGCGCAGAACTTTCGCAAGGTCAAGTATAGATTTCGTGGCAGGCGCAGCACTTTCGCAAGCACTCTCTGCGAGCTGGGGGATGGCAAGATGCAGAAAACGTTGGCGCTGTGCGGGAATTGGGCTTCCGGACAGTGCGCAAACCACCTCGGCTGCGACGCCTGTACGGAGGCGGGTGCGGAACGGGTTCGGAACGGTCTCGGAGACGGGACCATTGGCACGGCCGCGCGAAGGTTTCGCAAGGTTTGAATTGCGTGGCAGGCGCAGCACTTTCGCAAGGTCAAGTGTAGATTTCGTGACAGGCGCAGCACTTTCGCAAGGTCAAGTATAGATTTCGTGGCAGGCGCAGCACTTTCGCAAGCACTCTCTGCGAGCTGGGGGATGGCAAGATGCAGAAAACGTTGGCGCTGTGCGTGAATTGGGCTTCCGGACAGTGCGCAAACCACCTCGGCTGCGACGCCTGTACGGAGGCGGTCTCGGAACGGTCTCGGAGACGGGCCCATTGGCACGGCCGCGCGAAGGTTTCGCAAGGTTTGAATTGCGTGGCAGGCGCAGCACTTTCGCAAGGTCAAGTATAGATTTCGTGGCTAAGGCGCAGCAATTTCGCAAGCAAGGTCAAGTATCGATTTCGTGGCAGGCGCAGCACTTTCGCAAGGTGCTGCGTCCACTCTCTGCGAGCTGGGGGATGGCAAGATGCAGAAAACGTTGGCGCTGTGCGTGAATTGGGCTTCCGGACTGTGCGCAAACCACCTCGGCTGCGGACTCGGAACGGGTTCGGAACGGGTGCGGAACGTCTCGGAGACGGGACCATTGGCACGGCCGCGCGAAGGTTTCGCAAGGTTTGAATTGCGTGGCAGGCGCAGCACTTTCGCAAGGTCAAGTGTAGATTTCGTGACAGGCGCAGCACTTTCGCAAGGTCAAGTATAGATTTCGTGGCAGGCGCAGCACTTTCGCAAGCACTCTCTGCGAGCTGGGGGATGGCAAGATGCAGAAAACGTTGGCGCTGTGCGTGAATTGGGCTTCCGGACTGTGCGCAAACCACCTCGGCTGCGACGCCTGTACGGAGGCGGTCTCGGAACGGTCTCGGAACGGTCTCGGAGACGGGCCCATTGGCACGGCCGCGCGAAGGTTTCGCAAGGTTTGAATTGCGTGGCAGGCGCAGCACTTTCGCAAGGTCAAGTATAGATTTCGTGGCAGGCGCAGCACTTTCGCAAGGTCAAGTATAGATTTCGTGGCAGGCGCAGCACTTTCGCAAGCACTCTCTGCGAGCTGGGGGATGGCAAGATGCAGAAAACGTTGGCGCTGTGCGTGAATTGGGCTTCCGGACTGTGCGCAAACCACCTCGGCTGCGACGCCTGTACGGAGGCGGTCTCGGAACGGTCGGAACGGGTTCGGAACGGTCTCGGAGACGGGCCCATTGGCACGGCCGCGCGAAGGTTTCGCAAGGTTTGAATTGCGTGGCAGGCGCAGCACTTTCGCAAGGTCAAGTATAGATTTCGTGGCAGGCGCAGCGCTTTCGCAAGGTCAAGTATCGATTTCGTGGCAGGCGCAGCACTTTCGCAAGGTGCTGCGTCCACTCTCTGCGAGCTGGGGGATGGCAAGATGCAGAAAACGTTGGCGCTGTGCGTGAATTGGGCTTCCGGACTGCGCGCAAACCACCTCGGCTGCGACGCCTGTACGGAGGCGGTCTCGGAACGGTCTCGGAACGGTCTCGGAACGGGTTCGGAACGGGTTCGGAGACGGGCCCATTGGCACGGCCGCGCGAAGGTTTCGCAAGGATTGAATAATTGCGTGGCAGGCGCAGCACTTTCGCAAGGTCAAGTATAGATTTCGTGGCAGGCGCAGCACTTTCGCAAGGTCAAGTGCCAAATTCGTGGCAGGCGCAGCACTTTCGCAAGGTCAAGTACAAAATTCGTGGCAGGCGCATCACTTTCGCAAGGTCAAGTACAGAATTTGTGGCAGGTGCAGCACTTTCGCAAGGTCAAGTGCAAAATTCGTGGCACGCGCAGCACTTTCGCAAGGTCAAGTACAGATTTTGTGGCAGGCGCAGCACTTTAGCAAGGTCAAGCACAGATTTGGTGGCAGGCGCAGCATTTTTGCAAGGTCAACTTTCGCAGCCGGGGCTCGAAAATCGCAACTTTTAAGTACGAAAGTAGTACGCGAAGTCAACTTTCGCAGCTGGGGCTTGAAAATCGCAACTTTTAAGTACGAAAGTAGTGCGCAAAGTCCACTTTCGCAGCCGGGGCTTGAAAATCGCAACTTTTAAGTACGAAAGTAGTACGCAAAGTCCACTTTCGCAGCTGGGGCTCGAAAATCGCGACTTTTTAGTACGAAAGTAGTACGCGAAGTCCACTTTCGTAGCTGGGGCTCGAAAATCGCAACTTTTAACTACGAAAGTAGTACGTGAAGTCCAGTTTCGCAGCTGGGGCTCGAAAATCGCAACTTTTAAGTACGAAAGTAGTACGCGAAGTCAACTTTCGGGGATTGAACATCGCAACTTTTAAGTGCAGAGAAAGATGGGTAGATAGATAGATCAATAAACAGATATAGAGATAGCTAGAGAAATAGATAGAAAGAGATAGAGAAACAGAGATAGACAGAGATAGATAGATTTGTAGATAGATAGACAAATAACTAGCTAGATAGATAAAGAGATAGAGAGATAAATAAATAGAGAGGTAGATAGATAGATAGGAGATAGAGAGGTAGATAGATAGGTAGATCTATAGATAAATCGCAACTTTTAAGTACGAAAGTAGTACGCGAAGTCAACTTTCGCAGCTGGGGCTTGAAAATCGCAACTTTTAAGTACGAAAGTAGTGCGCAAAGTCCACTTTCGCAGCCGGGGCTTGAAAATCGCAACTTTTAAGTACGAAAGTAGTACGCAAAGTCCACTTTCGCAGCTGGGGCTCGAAAATCGCGACTTTTTAGTACGAAAGTAGTACGCGAAGTCCACTTTCGTAGCTGGGGCTCGAAAATCGCAACTTTTAATTACGAAAGTAGTACGTGAAGTCCAGTTTCGCAGCTGGGGCTCGAAAATCGCAACTTTTAAGTACGAAAGTAGTACGCGAAGTCAACTTTCGGGGATTGAACATCGCAACTTTTAAGTGCAGAGAAAGATGGGTAGATAGATAGATCAATAAACAGATATAGAGATAGCTAGAGAGATAGATAGAAAGAGAGAGAAAGAGACAGAGAAACAGAAAGAGAAAGAGAAAGAGAGAAAGAGAGAAAGAGAGAAAAAGAGAGAGAGAGAGAGAGAAGCAAGGGGCCAAGGACAGTTCTCCAAACTATAGTTGTTCACTGCTTTGAAACTTCCGCCCCCCGGCTCTGCCGGACCTTACTTGTAAGTGCATTTATGCGAATCAAAGGAAGAAAGCCAGAATTGATCCGATCCTGCTGATCATAGCGCCAACAGATGACCCTTTTATTGAGGCATCTCTCTTTGGGGGACAATTATGCATCAAAGATCTGATGCATCCCCACCCGCTTAAGAATTGAATTTTGGCAGGTCTTCCCGTAGTTCCATTTATAGTTCCATTTTCTCTTTTATGGGGAAGACCACCGGAAAAATGGAATTGGGACCCCCCCCGCACGCAACTCCCCGTTAAGAGTGGTTTATTTTTGATGCAGAATTTGCAAGCGCGGCCGTAAAGCTTTGAGAAGTAAGCTGGCCAGATGGGACACTTGGGTGCGGTTCTTTAGCACTTCAGCCACAATCAAAACTCGGGCAATTGGACAATAGTGGACGGTCCCATAAATGGGCAATTGTCTCCGCCGTCTGTTTTTTTCATGGGTTGACTCCATTTTGATACCAGGATTTCGGGGCGACTCGCTTTCTGTAACAGGCAACCCCTTTCCGGGCCGTATGAGTGAAGTGCAAGCCCCGTAACTTTTCAGCTTTGGAGCGGCAGATTCAGCCCTTTCTATCCCCAAGGAATATGTTACCGGGGATGTGAGTTGGAACGGTCGAAGGACATGGGAAACCCACATGCATCTCTGACTGGTGCAACAACGGATCATCATGATTTGCTAATTCTGAGAGGTCGGGGTTGCTTGTGAGCTGGTCGAGCCAGTTTTTCAATGTTATAGAATTAGATCACTCCGTGTAATTCTGCGGAAGCTTGGGGATTAGCTCGCTTCTGTAATTCCCGTTTTCTATCTGATAGCGTAGTCCTGGGTGACCCACCTTGTATCACAGAAAAGGCCCGTTGTTCAAAACCTGGGAGCGAAAGCTGCAAGCTGCGCGGGCTAAACCTTGTTGATCGTCAACCAATGGCACATGGCAAGTGCTTCGGCCATGCCATGTTTGCTCAATGCGTTGCCTGCATCATTGAGCTTTTCGAATTAGCCACATTGTTTGATAGTCCCCTAGGGTTTAACTTCAACCCCCATAAACAGAATGGTTGACCCAATTTGGATGATGACATTCCATAGGTAAGCCATGGTTATATGAACCCAACCGTTGTTTTCCAGGTGGTTTGAAGCCCAGCAAGGCTTTTGTCAAAGCTTCGAAGACATCCAGGAAGTCATTCCCACAATCGACCCTGGTCCTGGCAAGCTGCGCCGCTAAGCCCAAGCGACTCCAAACATTCGCAGAGTGTCCATTCCGATACGATTTTTTCATTCGGGAGAGCCTACTGATCATGATTCGCAACGAGTACCTTTGCAATCGGCAAGTGGGGGTTGATTAAAAGGTCCTTACCAAATTGGTGTTGGTTTAATCCCCTACGCGAAAGATCGGCGATGGAGTTGGCGAAAGAAACTCTTTTTTCGCGACAGATTCTACATTGGCTTCTTGGAGGCGTGCCCGTGCATGCAGACCCCACTCCCTTGTAGACAGGGAGATGCGCACGGCCTTTCATTCTGGATGGCCTGCCGTGGGAATGGTGCAAACCAAGACATTGTTTGAGCCATTTTGGAGCAAGCTTTGCGAAAGACCGGCGATTGACCGTGGAGCTTGTTGCAAGGTTCCGCACATCCCTGGCAAGTGAATGTGGCCAGGCCGAATGATGGTGACTGCTTTTATGCAACGCTGCTGCAAGCCTGCCAGTGCCAGTGAACTGCGGTTGCTGTCAGCAGACACCATGGCTCCAGAGCGCACGTTGCACACAATGGCTCGTGGCGATGCAGTCGCGAAAGATTCGCGAAGGAAACTGTTTTGGTCGCAAAGATGCCATGTAGTTTACCCCAATAGTCATGACTTTTGGTTTAGTGCCTCACAACCCGTTCTAATTATTTGGGTCCGTGTTCGCATGCCCTTAGCCCCTTAAACCTGTTGCAAACCAATTTGGTGTTGCCATTATGCCTACAAGACTTGCTGGTTCCCAGCCGTCCGCTTCCTTAGGTGTTTGGTGGGTTGATGGGGGTACGACCTTTTTCTGGTTCGGGGGGCTTGGCGCAGCCCAGATGCCCTCCCTGCGTAGGCTATGATGCAATCCGCTCTAGCGCCATTGGCCAGTGTTGCGGCACCGGTGGACTCAGGAGTGGAAACTTGGGATGGGTATGGATCATGGATCCCTTTTTTCAATGGTTTTGACCAAGATTACAAGGGCTGCTACTGATGATTATGGGGTTTCTACTATATAGTCACAAGGTAACTTCCATGACTCACCCTGGAGGTTTCACTGTGGTCAAGCTTCATGAAGCCTTCAGACCGGCTTTGGATGCACCCCTTCCACTGTGGGATGTGTAAAGTCGAGACGGTTTGTGTAAAGCCTGCGGGGATTCAGAAGGATTCCCAGCAAGTACTTGACATGTGATTTGGTTTGTCAACATGTTCAGGGTGTGTTCAACAGCTCGACCTTGAGCAGAATGAATTGTAGCCGATGAGGTCACCCAGTACCAGCCCAAACACAGAAGCTTCTAAGAAATGGAGGCAGCCCATGCAATGCCTTGCACACGTAATGTTTGCGGCAACTGCGTATGCGGGTGAAAAGCTAACCTTATGGCACCATGAATGTATAGGTTGTGTCCCCGGCAATTTTTCATTGGGCAACCGGCAGGGTGGGGGCTTGATGTTAGTCTTCAACCAGGGCATCCCACAACTAAATGATCGTTCCTTTCCGAAGGAACCTCAAAAGGGCACCCTGAAAGACCTGACCCACCCACCGGGCTCAGAGATTTTGCTTTTGAACCGTTTGGTTGCGACTAGGTCTTTTAGCTGAAACAGGCGAGAGACGTCACGCAAGCAGCTCTGGCCGGCGGTGTCCACTGTAACGGGGGGGGGGGCAAATCGAGAGCTGCGGGGTTGGAAAGATCAACACTTTAGATCTTTAGCGTGTCACATTCTACAGCTAGTGGCGACTAACACTGAAGCAACCTTTGTAGTTGAGAGTTTGTCTGTTTGCCACGCGGTGCACAGATCGTCAAGGATTTATGAAGACACGTTGTTTGATGGCGTTTCCTCAGTACCTACTGTGATGGCTTGCCTAGCGCTGGATAGGAGGGCATCAATGACCAAGATGATTTTCTGGAGTGCAGCTTCCGGCGAAGGAGCATGCGATTCCTGTGTGTATTTTCCCCGAACTTGGTATGCTGGTGTTTGTTGCGTTATGTCATACAACTTTCCCTATAGGACCCCCGAAACACACACACACACACATCTCCAAAAATAGTATATGTTGTTTGTCTTTCAGCCTGGGCTCAAGGGGCTTTCCAGAGAGCCAGGCGGACCATGCCCACACCTTGAGGGTATGGAAGACGTGGTGGTAGTCATCAATGTGCATGGCCCCCGAGTGTCGCATGGATGGTCCCTGACGCATGGCAAGCATGCAAGTGTGCACGCCGCTTTGCCAGAGGACACGCCCAAGTGCATGCTCTTGCAAGTTCAGGTGGAAGAACAGCAGGGTTCTCTTCACATCACTTGTACTGAGAGCACCCAGGTCAGAGCGTACAGCCTCGCCAAAATCCAGGACATCAAGCAGATGACCGAAGTATGCACTGGCCTAGGGTGCTTAGGACTTGGTGCTCAGCAAGCTGGTTTCCAGGTGAAGATGCAAAATGAGCTTCGACCCGCCACGTGTCAAGTTCTTAGGCAAAACAGCCAGGCAGATATCGTGGAAGGGGATATCACAAATCCCGAAGTGCGCCGACGGCTAGCTTGGAAGGGCCCCCAGCATGGCACCATTGCTGCAGGCTTCAGCTGCCAACCGTTTAGTAAGCTAGGAGACCGGCAAGGAGGTAATGATGGTCGGGCGTCCACTCTCCCGGCCACTCTCGCTCTGGCTCATCTCATGCAAAGCCAAGTGATCATCCTGGAGTGCGTTGCTGAGGTTGATAGGGACCCGTGGGTGCAGGATCAACTGCAAGCCTTTGCGGCCAAACACGGATACAGTATCTCCACCAGAGTGTTGCATCTGGGTTCCACCTGGTGCACACAGCGCACGAGATGGTGGGGAGTGTTGACACACCATGTGATTGGACGTGTCACCTTGCACCCCTTGCCACATGACCCGGACCATGTGACCGTAGGAGATGTCATGCCGACCATTGCCAGTTGGCCCATGCAAGCCCTGCAGGAGCTAGCGCTGTCTCAATATGAAGCCCGAATCTTCGAGGACGTCTTGCTTGATATTAGTAAGGTTCACTTGAGATTGGATGCCAAAATGCAGACGGCGCTCCACAGCTGGGGCAACCAGGTATTCCATTGTCCATGTGGATGCCGAAGCAGTGGATTCACCGAACGCCGACTCCATGAAAAGGGCCTTCATACGGTCTTGTTGCCATGCAGCAACTGCAAGCCCCCTGGCGTAGAGCAAGACCAAGCGTGGTATCGGCATCTGCACCCCTCCGAGTGTGCACTGCTGTGTGGATTGTCGCCTGGACTGAACTGGAACCAACAGTACCGGTTGTCCCTGTCTCTGGTAGGACAGCTGGCATCACCCATCCAATCCCTTTGGATTAGTTCCCAGATTATGCAACGGGTGCAACAACTCGCAGGTGACGCGCAGTGTGATCCTGAGGCCATCCTGCGAGCATACAAGCTCGGTCTCTTGCAGCAACGGGACCAAGTGTGGGCAGGTAACACGAGCCACCTCGTGTCGCCTATGGATGTTGAACGAGCTTCCAGCTCCCAAGATGAGCAAGCATATGCCAATCTCATGGCAGGAGCTGAGGAGGCTATGTCCGACAGCCCACGCACGCCAGTGCAAGCCCAGGTCATCCGCAGCCCCGAGCCTGCCACGCAAGCACATGTGACCATCCGGTATCCAGGTGAACCAGATGCCCAAGCCCGGGTATCCATGTCTGGACCCGTCCAGCTGCACCACCTCATCCAGGCCGAGCAGCAACTTCGGGGTGAGCAGGTATCCTCGGAAGCCCAGTGCCCTGCAGAGGAGGTCGTGCCCGCAGGCAGCATAGTGCACCTCCAGGTAGGTCAAACATGCAGTGCCCAGCAACTCCTTACGGCTGATAACCCAGTGCTAAGCGAGCCAGTCCACGCCCACGTAGCCCGGCGAGTAGCACCAACCCAGGAGCGTGTCCAACTGCTGAGCACGCAAGGCCACTTGTGGGCCGATGATGAAATGAGGTACCACCTGGCATGCCTATCCGAGATCGGCCCGGGAATCGACACATTCATGGATCCACTCCTCAGCAGCACCGTGCACATGCCCGGAGGAGTCTCCCGGGTCCGAGATTGGCACCAACCTCAGCCATTTGCAGGTCGCCATCAGTACGTAGTCATCACAGCAGTTAGGATTGAGGGACACTGGATCCCCGTTGTGTGGACCAAGCACGGCTCCGAACTTCAGGCCACCTCGTGCTCAGAGCATTTAGTCGATGCCCAGTTGCTGCGACCCATGCATGAAGCTATCGCCCTGGTGTGGCAATGTGCCAACGTGCAATCCGAACACAGGGATTGGCAGCAATGGCCGCACCCGGCATGTGGGTTCCGTGCAATCTATTGGTTGTGGCTTGCATTCGGACCAACCGACCAGCTTGAGCACATTCAGTATGCAAGCCTCCGTGAGCAGTTTCTGCAGGAAGTCCAGCAAGAGCCAATGTGGCCGCTCCCCACCGTAGGAGCCCTCGGGCGAGCCAATGCCCAAGAAGTTGAGGAAGCCACCACGCTTCTCCGAACCATCTTGCATGCCAGAGGGGTGTTCCCAGACAGAACAGCCGAACGTGCGGCGGCAGCGGTAGCTGCCATTGGTCCCGTGCCCATCAAGCGTGCATGTCAGGAATCCAACCCCTGGCCAGCCCTCAAGCAAGTAGGCAACCAGTGCGTACCCGCATTCAGGTTCATCCTGCCTGACGAACTCCGCAAGCAGATCCAAGATCGTGCGCCGGAAGGAGGACCGGTAGGTCGCAAACGACGGGCAGTCGAAGGCAAAGGCAAGGCCCAGGGTAAAGGCCACCAATGGACCCCCATGCCATATGACCAAGTGCAGGTCAGGTCGGGCGTCTTTGTTGCCGATGGACCAGTGGCCCAACTCACAATGCAGCAAGTTGGACCCCAAGCCAAAGGTGTATTGGTAGTCAACCCCCAGCACGCCCAACCGTACCTGGCAGCCAAACAGCCGGTGTCTCAGGAGGGATTGGCAATGCTTGTTCTGGGGGCTAGCACCCAAGACTATTCCCAGGCCTTTGCCCCGAGTGAAGTCAGGTTTCCAGCCACGTGCGCCGAAACCCAGGAACCAGTGCTCCTCACTGCCGTCATGCTCCAGCTTGGTAAGAAACCAGTTGCCAAGGCTACTCCGACCAATGTTGTACAGCTTGACGTCATCCCAGCCAGCACGCAGCGGGTCCAAGTGTATCGTGATGAAATCACCGTCGAGTGGACGGATTTCCTGCAAAAGCCCATGAAGTACATCATGGAGGTGCTCGTCCCATTGCAGAAGTGCACAGAGGACCCATGCAGTTGTCCCAAGTGGCACGGGGCCCCCGATCAACCTGATCAGGAGGCGCTCCTGGATGTGTGGCGTCGCCAACACACTAAGCTAGGTTATCAGCCAGCCACCCCGGAGCACTCCAGCCTGTACACAGTCAGTGTGCGAGTGCCCGCCAGTGTGCAAGATGTGCTCCAGGGGTACTCGGGAACCCGCGGTGTCTATGTTGAGCCCCGTAGTGACAATGGGCTAGCGCCCAGCATGACGTGTAGTGTAGTGTGGCTCCCACGCGCGGATCTACAAGCAGCCATGCTGCAAAAGCAGACGTGTCAGGCACTCGGGGTTGTCCGCCTCTGGGCACCAAGTACGGAGTCAGGGTCCGCACCACGGAGGCGGCCAAACAGCATGAAACGTTGCGTCCTGACACGCCTTTCATTGCAGCCGGATCCCGTAAGGTCTACACCATGGGGCCTTGGCCATATGGCACGCAGCGTACTGCCATAGTGAAAGTGCTCAAGCAGATCCAGTGGCAGGCCAAACCAGTCCAGCCCGCAGGCTCCGATCCTAACGTGCCCGGTACATTCTGGCAGCTGCAGGCGGTTGATCCACCACCGATGGAGGTAGTGACCACCCAGCATGGTGAAATGGTCATCG